GGCCGTAAAGTAACATGGTTCCACATTTTGTCTGAAGCGCCATGCTTTTTCCATACACTGCCGGCAGGGGTTTGGTCTAGAGTTATCATTGGTTGGTAATTAACAGTTTTTGGTGTAGAGCTTTTCATGTCCCGGCCCACTTCTCATTTATTGCAAAAACCATTTTACCGGGAAAAAATAAATGAAAAAGCTCCAGCAAGAAAACATTTAGAGACATGTTTATAAAAGAGTCAAACATTGTTTGTTTTCCTGTCTGTTGTCATTGGCTACATACAATAATCTAGACAATTTAGCTTATTTCTAGAACTATTTCCCTAAAACTTCTAGTGGGACAATTTTTTCCAAATTGAAAACCAAGGTGAAAAAAAGCTCACAATCAGATTGTATTGTAAATTCACAATATATAACAAAACTGTTCTTGAGCTTTCCTGGCCAAATAATGCCAATGGCGTTTCTGCCAGTATAATCTAAGGAGTAAATCCATTATTAAATAGAAGTGATCAGGGGAAGAAGCACACCTCAAAGTCCAAAAAATTTGAGGTGTTATAATTTGCAAAGTGGTTTAGATATCCAAAACGTTCAAGACTAGATTGAGTGAGGCCAATAAAGTTGAACCAATACATACTAGCAAAGTAAGCACTTTACAGAAAGATTAAAAAGAAACAAGGTTTAAAGGATTTCTAAAATGTGGTTTTTATACTAGACAGAATTTACTTTCATATCTGAATATTGGGATCATTCTGGGCTCCCAAATGTGACGCCAGAGTCCATTTTTTTTTTTCCCTTCTCTCTCCTTCCTCAGCATCTGGTTTTTCTACTCTTCCTGCTTTTTCTTTCCCTTCTTTCTGTCTTTTAGTCTCTTTCCATTTGTACTGACAGAAGATTTAGTACAGGATTTAAGTCTAGTCAGGGTCTTTTGGTCGAAAGGATCTAAACATCTACTATTTGATGGCCATTTATAGCTGCTGGTCTAATCTGTGAAGATTCCATTTGGTTGACTATTATTTATGAGGTGTACTCATGCTCTCTTGCCTCATGCTTCTTATTTATTTATGTGAAGACCTGTCAGGCCACAATAATCCCTGTATGAACAAGGAAACTGATACATTAGTCAAAAATTATGAATTAAAAAAAAAAGAACGCTGACTCCTGTGTTCTATGAGAGATATGAGCTCTAGTATAGAGGACAAGCTTCCAACAAGTATTATGTAAAGATTACTTGGGCCCTGATTTTGATGTCCATTCTTGCTGTTTTTATTTGTTTGCTTTTTGCCACTTGGTCTCGGCCTTTTTCCACTGATATATGTATTTTTTCACACTGGCAGAAAAAAAAAAAAATGGAAAGGAATCCTATAGTATTTGCAGGCTTTTGTAAGTAGTAGCCTACTAGTAATACTTAAAATATGTGAATAACAATTACTATGATAATTTATTGAAACCCATGGCCATATTTATTCAGTGTGCTGTATTTGGCACCAAGCGTTCTGCCCAATGTTTCACAAGCTTTTTACTACACAACCATTACACATACTTCGGTGCTATATTAGGGTATCTCTTCTCCAACAGTTAACTCAAAATGGAATAGTGCACTGGCTTCAGGTGCCGCCCTTGGTAGATGAGGTAAATCTTGATGCTATAATGAAAAAAACAAAACAGAGCACACTCTCCTTCAGTGCCGTTAAAACGCAAAAAACCATAAATATATTAAAAGATGCAAAAAAAAACATACTGTCAGGAATGGCCTAGCCAGCATGGAGGGACTCACCTGCCTTTTGATCCGGCAGTACCAAGGCAGGCCAACGGATGCCTCCCAGCAATCAGAGACCTCAACTCTTGCCGCCGCAGCTATCCACCTGGAACTGATGAATGCAAGGGGTTATTTAAGGGATGGCCAGACTGCAGACTCCGCCTTGGTGTTGTGTTCTCACTAGGGGCCCTAGTATCCCTGTTCCTGCTTCTCTGCTCCTGGCCTGATTCACTGCCTACCTGATCTTATCCCAGCCTTGTGACCCTGGCATCCCTCTGCCTGAACCTCTGTACTGACGCTACAAAAACATTTACCCTAAGCATGTTATTTCTTGTTAGCCTGCTACCCTGTTCTGATCCCTGGCTTGTTGACCCCTGAACCATTCCCTCTGCACCTAACTCAACCGCTGGTAGCTACCTGCTGAACCAGGGCCTGTGAACCCAACAGACCAATCTCCACCGCTTGCTCCCCCTGTATCCTAACCTGCCCAATTGATATTGACGGCCGCTGCCTGACGACGCTTGCTTGTATGATACTGTTACTCGTTGGTGGGTGGTTTGGTTTGTTGCAACTGTATATATTTTAGTAATTGCACTGCGTTTAATTTTGGTATTGTCAGTGTTAATAAAATTATTTTTTTTTTGATAATGTTTATCACATATCTGAAGTCTGGCGTTTCCCTGCGTTAGTCAACGACCTCACACCTCGTCACACCTGGGAGCCCTGACATTACAACCAAGGCCAACAATCCTGACCAGAAGTGGCTGCACAGGGAAGCATCCTGGCTTGTTGCTGGGAAGGATGGATCTGGATGAGGTTTGTGTATTTATATCTGCTAGTGTTTGATGACCAGGGAGTATCTTATCAAACTCTGAAGGAGTATCACCAGGGATCAACTACTAGAATGTTATAAACGGCTCGCTCATGTTCTAGTAGATCAGGGCACAGAGTTCTCTGAGGTGCAGCCATTTGATTGAGGTTTGTGCTGAGTTGGTTTCATCTGGTTCCCCCCGAATGCAGGGATGATTTTGCCACCATTTAGTGCAGACCAGGTAGAGTCCCACCGGTGTGGTCTATTAGAGGATGATGTGGGTTACTTTCTGGAGCGTTATTCCACATGTTCACACACAGACACTAAGAGATTGTATAAACGCAGTGCAGTCATTGACCAGACAGGCTTTTGTGTAAAGCTCAGCTTTGTTCAACCCGTACTGCAGACATGGACAGATTTGTTGCACCCCAGTCCTCAGTCAGCTTACAAAAACCCAGTCCCCTGCTTCCTAACTCTACTCCTGTATTCCCACAAGCTCCTCCAGTTACAGCCCAGTAATACTTGGCTATCTACGCATGTCAAGTACCAGCTGTTCCCACTCGCTGCACCTAACCTGCCTTTAACCCTGTAAAAAAAAGCCTCTCTGTAGCAACTGCTCCTCTCCTGTTCCATCCTCCAGTTTTTCTCTAGCTCTCCAGACTGCTCCTTTCATTTGCAGACCTGCGTTTAACTTGCAGTAGCTCCCAGTAGTTAAAACCAGAAAAAAAGCGAAAATTCTTTCCAACCAATACCATCACTGCCAGTATCCAAACCGTGAACCTGCCTTCCGTGACTCAGCCTGAAGCCTCTACTCAGCCGGATGCCTCTCTTCAGCGCGGATGCCTCTCCTTCAGCCTGATGCCTCTCTTTCAGCCTGATGCCTCTCTTCAGCCTGAATGCCTCTCTTCCCGCCTGATGCCATCTACTCAGGCTGAAGCCTCTACTCAGCCTGAAGCCTCTACTTCGGAACCTGATGCTGCATTCAGCTGCGATGCCGCTACTCAGCATGATGAACTGATCCAGCCCGACGATCCTATTAGGCAGTTACTCGATGCCCGCTGTTGAACCAGAATGATCCGGTACCTGATCCAGTGCCGCTGCTCGGGCCAATTGACTCAGAGCCCACTGTCATACCTGGTGACCCGATGGCCCGCTGTCGACCCAGACAATCCGATACCTGATGACCACGGTGCCCACTGTCGTGCCTGTTGACTCGGAGCCCACTGTCTTGCCAGACGACTCGGTGCCCGCAGTCTTGCCAGTTGACTCGGTGCCCGGCAGTCTTGCCGAGACGACTCGGGCCCGCAGTCTTTGCCAGACGTCTCGATGCCCGCAGTCTTGCCAGAGACGACTCGATGCCCGCAGTCCTTGCCATAGACGACTCGGTGCCCGCAGTCTTGCCCGACGACTCGTTGCCCGCAGTCTTGCCAGACGACTCCTCGGTGCCCCGCAGTCTTTGCCAGACGACTCGGTGCCCGCCGCTAGTCCGGCCTGAGGGCCCGAGACCTCAGTTCGCTCCCATCTGGGGTCCGGCGCCCAAACCGCTCCGCCTGAGGGCCCGAGACCTGTCGCTCCGCCTGGGGGCCCGAGACCATGTCGCTCCCTACCACTTGGGGGTCCGGCCGCCCGCCGCTCCGTCCTAGAGGGCCGAGACCTGTCGCTCCACTTGGGGGTCCGGCGCCCGCCGCTCCGCCTGGAGGCCCGAGACCTGGTCCGCTCCCATATCCATGGGGTCCGGCGCCCTGCCGCTCCGCCTGAGGGCCCGAGACCTGTCGCTCCGCCTGGGGGCCCGAGACCTGTCACTCCATCTGGGGGTCCGGCTCCCGCGCCGCTCCGCCTGAGGGCCCGAGACCTGTCGCTCACCGCCTGGGGCCCGATGCCTGTTGCCATGGCCCCTCCTGGGGGCCCGATGCCTGTGTCCCCTCCTGGGGGCCCCGATGCCCTGTCGCCCCTCCTGGGGGGCCCGACGCCTGTCGCCCCGCCTGGGGGCCCGACGCCTGTCGCCCCGCCTGGGGGCCGCTGCCTGCCGCTCCGCCCGGGGGCCCGCTGCCTGCCGCTCCGCCCGGGGGCCCGCTGCCTGCTGCCCCGCCCGGGGGCCCGGTAGCCCTGCTGCCCCGCCCGGGGGCCCGGGTGCCTGCTAGCTCCGCCTGGTGGCCCGCTGCCTGCTGCTTCGCCTGGTAATCCGATGTGTCCTACTGCCCGGAGTCCTGCCCGATGTGCACTCTGCCCGGAGTCCTGCCCGATGTGCCTCTGCCCGGCAGTCCTGCCCGATGTGGCCTCTGCCCGGAGTCCAGCCCGATGTGCCTCTGCCCGGAGTCCAGCCCGATGTGCCTCTGCCCGGAGTCCTGCCCGTGTGCCCCTGCCGGTGTGCCGCTGCCGGTGTGCCCCTGCCCGGTGTGCTGCTGCCCGGAGGGGAGTCCCTGCCCGGTGTGCCGCTGCCCGGGAGTCCTTCCCGGTGTGCCAGTCTTTGATATCCCGCCAGTTACTAGACCCGGGCGGTGGAACATTTTGCCCAGCTAAGGACTGTTTGGAGCATCCTGAGGCCGCTCCTTGAGGGGGGGGTACTGTCAGGAATGGACTAGCCAGCAATGGTGGGACTCACCTGCCTTTTGATCTGCAGTACCAGGGGCTGGCCAACGGATGCTCCCAGCAATCAGAGACTCAACTTTGCAGCCAGCCTAACACCTGGAAACTGATTATGCTGGGTATTTAAGGGATGGCCAGACTTGCAGACTCTGCCTTGGTGTTGTGTTTCTCTTGGGCCCTGTATCTGTTCCTGCTCTCTGTTCCTGTCTGATTCTCTGCTACCTGTTCTGTGATCCTGGCTTGTGACCCTGACCAACTCCTCTGCCTGACCCTCTGTACTAACCTGCTGCTACCTGTTCTGATCCTGGCATGTGACCCCTGACCAATCCCTCTGCCTGACCCTCTGTACTACGCTGCTAGCTACCTGCTGAACCTGGCCTGTGACCCCGACCAATCTCCGCTTGCTCCCCCTGTACCTACCTGCCCAATTGATATTGACCCGGCCTGCCTGAACGACGCTTGCTTGTATGTACTGTTATCTGTGGGTGGTTGGTTTGGTTTGTATGCACTGTATTATGTTTAGTATTGCACTGCGTTTTCATGTTTGTATTGTTTAGTGTTAATAAATTAATATTGTTTATCACATAGCTGAAGTCTGCCGTTTCCCTGCGTTAGTCACACACCTCTGGTCACACCTGGGAGCCCTGACACATACTCACAAGCCATAAAGGTCATAAAAACAGAGGACAAGAAGTCAAAGGTGCCAATCGTGGACAGGCATGCTAACACGATTTCCGGGGAGTTGAACTCCCTTCCTCAGAGCAAGATGCTGTATACGATTGGCACCTTGACTTCTTGTCTCTGTTTTTATGACCTTTATGGCTTTGTGAGTATGTTTTTGCATCTTTTTAATTAAATGTATGGTTTTTGCGTTAATATGCACGAGGAGAGTGCGCCCTGGTTTGTTTTTTTCTACTATTATGGTAACTCTGTCATTCTTTTGCCATCTCTGTCCCATTGGGAGCTTTTCTTTATTCCTTCGCTAAACCCAAAACAGGAAGTGAGAGAAAATCCCTCCAAAGTGATGGAATTGCTTGTTGTCATCAGGGATCACTCAGACTAGTGTCCCCTTTGGAAGAATTCTTCTCTAATTCTTTTATAGTGATAACCTCAAATTTGGGTTTTCTTTCATTTTTACTCTTACGACCAATAGACAGAGTGAATCTCCCCAATGGGAGCACAGACAGTATTTAAAACCTGGCAGGTATTCTAATCCCTCTCCACTAAAAAAAAGTTTTTGCCTTTTACACTTTACATTCAACTTCCCTAAAGTGGTTTTCCAGGAAGATTTACCATAAACACAGGTATTGATTTACTAAATCTGGAGAGTGCACAAAATCTGTGCAGCTCTCATAGAGACCAGTCAGCTTCCAGGTTTTTTGTGTCAAAGCTAATTGAACACACTGAAGTTAAAAGCTGATTGGTTTAGCATGTCACAGCTGCGCCAGATTTTGCATTTCCAGTTTTAGTAAATCAACCCCAAGATGTAAAAAGGAATATTTTTACTGATTTAAAAATAATAAAAAGTTGAAAACAATTGAATAACAAATGTCCCTTCAGAACACAGTATACACACAATACACCACACAAAACAACAAACAATCTACACACTGCTTAAAGTATCTAATCTAGTAATACGTTGATTCTGCCCACTCAACAAAAGATTACTTAAACTGAAATCTATCTAAGACTTCATAGTTCTAATGACTAAATAGCACTTTCAGTGGGTCTAATGCAGTCTCCTCTTCTTGTCCAGCGAATATAAATAGCCAAGTCTTTTTCCTTCTCTAGAACATTTTCTTGTTGTTTTTCCCCTTTCTTCTACCTAATCATCTCTTTCTCTTCCAAAATATTAGCGGCAACTCGAAAGCTTCTAAATCCAGTTTCTTTAATGGTTACAAAGTATTAGTACAAAATCTGTT